GTGTGAAGCTGAATGGAGTCAGGTGGAAGGGGAAGAGTGTGAGTCACCCCTGAAGTCATACTAACTTCCTCAGCTACTTGCTTTCATTTTTAGTGCTTTTTCATACCTTTCATTTATATAGCAATTTTGCACAGAATTCTTTATTCAATAAAATGTTGCCTTTTAATCTTGAATATACATCAAATAGTTCCCTTTAGTCTTATGAAAACTCACTATTTGGGATCTTCAAGGAGAAAGGCAGTGTGAATTGGTGAAGTCTAAAATACAGAATGTTTTGAAGGAACTACAGTTTTCATACAATTGTCCTTCCTTTTAAAGAACTCTAATTTTTCTATATATATATTTTAAATGTGCTGCCCAGAACTGATCATGCTACTCCAGGTGCCACCTGATCAGGATCAAGTACAAAAGGACTTTGATCTGTCTGTGAAATATTTAATATTGCAGTCTTCTACTGGTTCTCAATCCTCAGTGAACATACAGATCAGCTGGAGAGTTTTTAAGTACCCATGCCAAGTCTCCACTCTGGGAGATTCTGATTTAATTATCACGGGATTGGTCCAGGCAGCTTTTTTAAAAAAATTATATTTAAGGCTCCCAAGATGATTCAAACATACAGCCAGGGTTAAGAGCCTTTTGGGCTGTAGGCACAAAACCTTTGCTGTCTAGTCCAGTCCTCCGTGCTGTTGTGAAGTTGGCCTTTTGAACCAAACTTCAGGCTTTTTTGAACCAAACTCATTGAATTTTGTTTGGTTGATCCATTACTCTAGCCCTTTATGGTTTTTTAAAATTTTGCTTCATTGTGCCAAAACTTAGCAGTTCCTTCTAGCATTGCATCAGTTAAGCTTATTTTTTTGGTTGGTCTATTCTAGCTTTTGGCATTTTAAATTTCTTTCCCCTTAATGCCATGAAACAGATTAGCAGTCTCTTCTAGCATTGCATTATTTGAAAACTGAATAAGTATCATCCAAGTTGTTGATTCAAAGAAATGTTTAATATAATAGGGTTAATGCTAGCTCCTCTGGCAACTCATCAGAGCTGCCTCTTGGAGTTGGAGCTGGTTAAGTTTTGTGTATATCTGGTCAGCCAGTGCAGAATCCACTGGGTGCTAACATCATCTATCCTGTCAACATGTTCATGAGGATAATGCGGCATGATGGATTTGTTGTATGCTTTGTGGACATCAGGATGTATGCTAGTTTCATAGCGATCATCTACCAAGGCAATGACCCTATCAAAAAAAGGAATATGAGTCACTTGGCATCTTACCCCTGGTAAATCCCGTTGCAGGCTCCAGGGTTCCCTAAGTTTTTTCAGTACCCCCAAACCATATGTTTCCTAATTGAGTCCAGAATTTGCCTGAGGGTCAGTGCCACAACTGTAGGTTTTGTGTACCACTTTCTTTTCCCCTCTTTGGAAAAGCGGGGCATCATAGATTTAGCTTTAAAAGAAAATATTTGGTTAAGTATAGCTGATTCACTTTTTTATAAAGCAGAAACTAACACATCACTGTAAAGCAATTATACTCCAATAAAGATGTTTAAAAAAAAAGAATATATTTGGTTTTCAAACAGTTTAGGAAACTCTTTGTGTGTGTTTCTCTTGGTTGGCTGAATTGTTTCCATTTACACTGTGGTTCTCAGCCTTGGTTGCACATTGGAATCACCTGGGGAGTTAACAAGACTAACAACAATTCCTAAAATCTCTGGGGGAGATCTGATTGAGTTGGTCATGGTGAGGCCCTGGCATCAATATTTTTTTCAAAGCTCCCTGAGGTGACAGGAATGTTCAGCCAGGGATGAGAATGACTGCTGTGTTCAAAGGAAATGTCAGCTCAGCCTGAATCTGGCTTATCACACACATGAATAGGCAGGCTTCACAGATGGTGAGATTTTATTCTAGGATTGTGGGGGCCTTGATGAATTCTAGGGGCTTGTGTCCACCTTAAAAAGGAGGACTCAACCCTAGAGAGTGAGTAGTCTGAGGACCTATTTGGATTTTATATTATCAGCTGTGAGATGGTTTGAACCTTTCAGGAAAATAGTTAGTCCCTATGCATTTTCTACAGTAGTGCAGAAGATTCTGTTCATTTGCTGGGTGACCTTGGTCAAATTACCTCTCCCCTCTGAAATTTGTTTTCCTCATCTGTAAAATAAGGTCAGGTGGATTAGATAGCTTCAAAGATTTCTTCCAGCTTTAATGATCTGTGCTTACTTTGTGATTAATACTAATGATCAAAATGATTAAACAGGGCTTCCCTGGTGGTGCAGTGGTTGAGAGTCCGCCTGCCGATGCAGGGGACACAGGTTCGTGCCCCGGTTCAGGAGGATCCCACGTGCCACGGAGCGGCTGGGCCAGTGAGCCATGGCCGCTGGGCCTGCGCGTCCGGAGCCTGTGCTCCGCAACAGGAGAGGCCACAACGGTGAGAGGCCCGCATACAGCGAAAAAAAAAATGATTAAGCATATTATTCAAAACCCGTAGGTAATCCAAAGATCTCTTATAGCAGGTTTGGAGTGCACAGGGTGATTTTAGGGGGTAATAGACTTGCCTTCCTAATTATATTTAGCTTAGGTTTCTTCTAGGACAACTGAACTGTAGGTTGTATTCATTGAGCACACACTGATTGCCCACAAGGAAGGGAGCCCTACAGTGAACTGAGTGTCAGGGGGATGCTACTATGGGATTTAGTATTTGTTGTTAAAGATACATGTTGCATGGATAATTGAGAATTGCCTCTTATAGATAAAATACCAGCCTCATAGTTCTGGGAAAGCCTAGGAGGCAAGGGGCAGGCTGCTTTGACACCCCAGAACCCCTTCCTGCAGAATTTTAAGTAGCCATTCATTTAATTAATACTACTACTACTGTTAATAAGAATTTAAATGAATAAAGTTTCCTAGTTATTTCATTGGCTTTTTCCTCAAATCTGGAAGTAGTTGAGGAACCTGATGCACAGTGAGATTAAGTGACTTACTCAAGGTCACACATTCAGAAAGTGGTAATTCCTGGCCTAGAACCCAGGCCTCTTGACAGCAGATCTTTGCAGTTCTTCCAGTGTAGCCTGCATAGTGGACTCTGTGGTCAGAATATGGTCATGACTCTGAGAATTGAAAAGCCACCACTGACAGAGCAGAACTCAAGAGGAAACTTTGAAGAAAGGAACAAAGGGACAACCTGGTGGAAAAGGAGACATTAAGGGAGGGATTTGTCCGAGGCCAGTTCTTTCTTGTTCTTATCAGTCTTCTGTGCTAGTTTCAGGCCCCTGACAAGAACTGGGCATTTGGTCTTTGAGCATCAAGGTTGAGAGTTAGTAGTAGTGAAGAGAGGAAATTATGCATGCATGACAGAGAGACAGCATATGGAAGGCAGTTCTTTAGTAGGAGAAAAAAATGGCCTTGGGCCCCCTAAGAGCAAGCTGTGCCTCTGTACCTACCTTGCTCCCAGAACTTGATCAAAACCCTTCTCCACTAGGCCTCGGTTTCCATGTCACTAAAATGAGGAGTGGATTTAGTAGAAGAATCATGTTCTCAAATGAAATTTGAGCCAGTAGCTTCTCTATAAAACCTGAAAAAGCAGAACTTGTCTGGTTGAAATGGACCTGGGACAGAAGTGGCCGACAGAGTCTAGAGTTCCAGACTTGCAAGTGCAGACCTTATTCATTAGGGTAATTAGAATTAGAAGAGTGGGGAAGGATCTGCCCAGCTCAGCTAGATTACTTGGAAGATAGGACAACCTTGGATGTAAGAGGCGGGTTGGGGGGTTGTCTTTCATTTATGTGGCCAGGATTCACATAGAGAATCACATAGGGGCAGAGATTAGAGTACCTTGGAGATCTGCATGCCTCTCCCCTTCCTGTTTTACAAGTGAGAAAATTAAGGCACTGAAGGGAAAAGGGACTTATCCAAGGTTGCAGTGATGGGTCTCGGTTCCTGAGTCATCAAATCAGGCCCTTGCCCCCTATAACCTGCTACCTCTGCTATAGTGTTCTGGCTCTATGCTCTCTTGGCTGTATCAGAGACCTGAATGCTCTCTCAGGTTCGGTTGGAGAGAGAGAGCTGACAGAGAGGCTGAGAGAACAAGAGTATTATGTAACCTCCTAAAGGGGAACAGGCCTGTCAGAGCCCTTAGGGTGCCAGGCAGTCAGATGGGGTGGGGGGAGCACCGAATCTCCTGCAGACTACATCAGTTCTTCTGAGGCAGGGAGCCCTGGAAGCAGCACAGTGTTGCTCAGCCATCCACCCTCGGGGTCCAGAGGAGGCTAGCACTGTGCGTCCATAGTCAGCTCTGGGAATAGTTCTGGCAGCTCTGATCTCTTTGTCTGCCTGCCTTCATTAGAGGAGAGAAAGGATGCACCTCCGTGCCCAGCTGGCTGCAGGAAGGATGTGCTGAGCCCACCCCCACCCCCTCAGAGTGTGGTGCCTAAAGGCAGCATCTACTTTTAGCTGTACCTCCCACAGCCTCTCCTCTGCCCACTCTCTTCCTTCCTCCTCCCTCTGTGAACCATGCTGGTTGGCAGGAGGGCTGGGCAGTGGGTGCTTTGGCACTGGGAAAGAGGCATGGTGGAGCCAGGCATCCCTAGGAGAGGCTTTGATAGAGCTGGCATGGTGGGAAGTCTCAGAACAGGCAAAATGATTAGACTCCTTCGTGTTTAGGGACTAAAGGGAGTGGAGGGATTTATTAATTTCCTTTGGACCTTGCAACCACCTGAGGTGCTTGTCTTGAGAATCCAGATTGAACTGCATAGGAGGGCTCAGGAAGACACTTTCTCTACTTGGATTTAGAGAAAAGCAACTGGGGCTAGTGGATGCTCGCTTGATTCTTGACTCTCTCTCTCTCTCTTTTTTTTTCTCTCTCTCTCTCTCTCTCTCTCTCTCTCTCTCTCTCTCTCTCCCTCTCACATTGTCTTAAACTTAAACTTTTCAGTGGGTTTTTCACATTGTCTCACTTGATCTTCTCTGTGGCCCTGTGAAGTAGGTAAAACTGGGATTACCTGCATTTTACAGATGAGAAAAATGAGGCTCAGGGATGTATCGTCATATATTGCCTGATCTGGGCTCAAGCTCTGGAAGTTACAGTGCCATTTAAAATCATTCCAGACAGCTGTATCTTCTAGAAAAGGGGTGTTACAGCTGTCTTGAGTCCAATTCCCTCATTTTGGAGGCTAGGTAACTAGGCTCAGAATGAGAAAGGGCTCACCCAAGGAAACACAGTATGTTTGAAGCAGTACTGGAGCTAGAGCATTGCCTTGCAAGGATGTGAGTTCCTGGACCCATGAGACTTGCAAGCTGTTCTTGTCTTTCAGGGATGGTAAGGGAAATCTATATGGTGTGATAGAAAGCAAAGGATCACTGAACTAGTTGTCTGTCGTTGTTTAGCTCTGTGACCTTGGGCAAGTCACCTAGCCTCTATGAGTTGGTTTTCTTTTCTGTTAATTGAGGCTGATAATCCCTGAGAACTTTCTGAGGCTGAAATCTCTGGGTGACTGCTGTAGTGGAGGGGCCTGACACTTGGTAGGCTCTCTGGAAAGGATTTGTTAGTGAAAGGCTTACACATGAATAAAGAGGAGCCGCAAATATGAACTTAGTTGCTGGGTGACCTTGAACAAATCCCATTGTCTTTGTGCCTCATTTCTCTCTGTTACAACTTGGAGGCCTCTTTTACTTTCCTCCCTTGGAAGGATAGAATCCCTACGTCCCAGCCCATGTCTTGGGTCATTGGTGGGAAGCTGGGATTTTTTTTCTTTATAAGAAGCTTTCTTTTATTTACCCCCAGCTCCACCCACCTCGCAACCTGGCCACACATGGTGCTATGAATACCAGACTAGCTTTCTCTATCCCTATCTCCTGAAAAGATAAAAGAGGAATGTGGAAGAAAGCCAAAGTTAATTGTGTTTTTACTTAGTGCCTTTTCAAGTCCATCAAGCCAGAATCACCTAGGCACTTGGAAATTATAAAACAATTCTTTGCTCCCAGGTCCTTAGCTAGAATTTGTGATGAGCATTACTGGATTTCATGATATGATTAAGAGTTATGTTAGAAATTGAAGGCTGTGGACAAATGACCTAATTAGAACAAATCTGCACTTTTCGCCTTTATCTGTATCGTTTTGTTTGGGAAATTCTCATTGCCCTGGGGACAGGGCAAGAAGATAAAGACTACTGTATAGTTCTTTTATTCCTGCCACATTTGTCTTTTCTCACAATTCTATGAGGTGAGCAAGGCCAGGATTCTTCCCATTTTATGGCTAAGTAAATTGAAACTATCAGTGTTTCCTCTTAAAAGCAGTGGTGTACTAGAAAGAGCATAGCATATATAGTTAGCTGTTATCAACCCACCCATACCAAATGGCCTTGGGCAAGGAGTTCATTCTAAAGATGCCTTCTGCACTTTGTTTCTATCTATGTCTTATTATAAAAGTTAATCAAGATAGCAGAGAAAACTAGGCAGATTTCACTATATAACTCTGGCTAGGTTGGCACTGAACCACTAATAGGCAGCTCAGGTACATCTATTTGACCTATGATAAGTCCACCCACATATCGTCCAGGGATGCATGAGAGGCCTTGCCAAATGCAGAAGAGTGGCCCTAGATCCTGTGACCCTTTGTGCCCTGTTTGGAGGTTTTCTCTTTGTAGATTTATCTGGTCGTGCCTTGAGCCTAAAAGCTGGCTTAGTACCATCACTAGTTCCCACAGTCATCCCAAAGGATGGGGAAGGAATGCTTTAGGTAAACCCCATCTCATTTTGCCTGAGCTTTAGTGAAGATTGTATGCCTTTAGGACTTTATCCCTTTTACTCCAGGTGGCTCAGGACATTGGAAAAATGAGTGTGGAATGACAAATGTAGGGAGGCAACCAGTAGCTTGTCCAGAGCTAGAGGGGGCCTAGCTAGAACGAGACAGCTGTAGGTGCTAATCCATATGCACATATCTGTGTACTGTCTTTTTGTAGTGGTGGTGGGAGGGACCAATGTTAGTCCATGATGCTTAAACTGAGAAAGTCACTGGATGAGAATGAGGAAGAACCCATAAGCCCACTCCCTTACAGTACTGCTTGGGAACCTGCTGTCTGGGGAGAGTCAAGGACTTGCCCAAAGTCTCATAGTTGGTCCTTGATCCTTGTCTTGTCTCTCTGTTCAACTCTTGGCTGCTAGACCTCATATTTTTGAGGCCTCTTAGATAAATGGAGTGGTGGCTAACCCTCTTGGGGAAAGCACCTATGAACACCATATTCAGAAAGTGACAGATGAAATTCAAACCCATGTCCTCTGACCTGCTTAGGAGCAGATTAATCCAAGTGTCTTAGAGGACACCTGTTAGAAACAAATTGCACAGGAGGAAAATTAGTTCAGTCTTGCTGTCTATCCATGCCCTCTACCCATACCCACATGTACATACACACACTATAGGTCACATGTGATGCACACACTGAGACATATGTCCAGTATATTTGGGATACACATGGGATACACATGTGGGATATGCTTTCACATTGACACACTTGGAGCACACACATTCAGTTAACCATAGGGCACACTCACTTGCACACACTTGGCACAGGTAGGGTACATATATACAGACACATGTAAGACATGCTTATGCAAATTTGTGTGTGGACACACATGGATACATATAAAACATAACTGTACACTCACACTCACACTGAGATGCATACTCAGATATACGTCTACCCCCAAGCACACACTCCTAATGACTTACATGGACAAACAACTCTCCCACCTTGAGACACATTTGAACACACCTATGGGACACACTCACATGCCCCACACATCCCTATGGGACACTCTCTGATGCAGAACACATTCTAAGGCCAGCTGTCTCAGTCTTCCAAGTGGGCAAAACAGGGCACTGGCTCCATCTGGTGGGCCTCTATCACTTTGCTCTGCACCTTTATCTCTGAAATCAGGCTTCAGAGGGCAGTGAGCTCAGGAATAAAATGGATACTCAAGGTGGCATGTGTTATAGCAGGCTCTACCAGTCAAACAAAACTTAGAACTGAGCCCTGAGATGTTAACAGGCAGATGGAGAAGATAAATTGACACTGGTCAATGCAGAAAGCTTGAGCCTGCTCCTCTATCCCCCAGTGTAGTTACAAACCATTAGGGAATGATATGATTGTGAAGTAATATCCTAGAAAACCTAAAGTAACTGAATATTAAAGTTTGTTTTTCTTGGGAATGAAGTAACAACTTGGGCCAGAGTAAGTATATCTAAATTGTGGGTGGGAGGGTGTGAGGGGAAGTAGTAGGATGCATAAAGGGGGGCAGAGGCTCAGCCTCTCCTTGGCCAGTGGTGGTAGGAGAGAATAGCCACATGCTTAATGACCACAGCCCTGCCCCTAGGCATACCAGCTTAGGCCATCTGGCCCCACTAATGAGGGCTATTTTTAGAGTTTCTCAAGCTAGAAACCAGGTCGGGGTGTCCTGGGGAGGCCTTTCTGGCCCTTAGTACCAAAGGCTGGAGCTGAAAGAGGGGGCCCTAGATTGGATCTGGGTGAAGGGTGGGAAGCAGTGAGACAGGTGGCTAGAATATGCCAGGTCTGCCCTGGAGCAGCAACCTCAGAGCCCCAGTGGATTACTGTTGACTGTGACAGCCTCATATCTGTTTCTGAACTTTGGACTTGAGATCAAGAAAAACACATTTCAGTTGCTATTCTGCCACTTAGGGTATGTCTCAGTCAGGTTTCCTTCCTCTGTCTGAGTCTTATTTGGTCTATAGGTAAAATCGTCAGTATTGTCTCTCAGACGCCGGCAAGGCTCAGAATTGAGAAAATGCTTTGCAGATGTATTTGTTCTTCACCAACAGATCTGTACTTACCCTATCCCTAAGCTGGTCTCGATGCATGCCAGCTACTGAGCCTGACTTACAGAGTAGCAGTAGAAAAAAGGCCAAAAAGGGGGCCAGGGAGAGGCAACCTCATGATGTCAGGTTGGTCAGAGTCCTTCTTGGATCACCCTCACTCATACAGATGCTTTTCAGTGCCAGGTCAATCCTTTCCCAGAACACAGGTTTGCAACATTTAGGTGGTCATATAGCTTTTGCTCCTCAGGAACTCTATGTAGGGAAAGTGGGGAGCATCAGAAATAGAGTCTCCTTCCTAAACTAGAAAAGGCAATCTCAGATGGCCTGTACCTGCCACCTGCCAGAGGAAGTAGCCTCGAGTGCCAGTACTGGCTCTGATAAAGTGTCTTATTCTAAGTTCTGTGCCCAGGGCCATTTCACCTGCTTTGTTGAAGGGGATGGGTCGGGAACTAGACTATGTAGCACAAGTTCAGATTTCTCCTCATCCCATAAATTGTGGGCAAATTCCTTCTGAGTCTGTTTTCTGGTCTGTAAAATGGGCTTAACTGTTAAGTTTCAGGATTGTGGGGTGCAAGAATTCATGGTGACAAAGTATGTGAAAAGTGCCTTGTAAAATGTTGAACATGTTTTACTATTATTAAGAGTTCAACCAGGGTGTGATTACAGGTACTTTGGAGGTAATCTAGGAGCTTATCTTCAGTCTATTTCTCAACTCCTTACCCCTACCCTTTTTAAAGTAGTATTGTCTCCATTTTGCAGATGGGGATACTGAGTCTCAGAGAAGGAGGGACCAGCCTGAAGATACAGGATTAGGTAGTGGTGGATTCAGGTCTAGAAGCCATGCCTTCAGATTATATTCAGTGTTCTTTCTATGGCCCCAAGCTACCACCCAATGAATTCTAGTGCTAAAAGGAAGCTGCTGGTGGCAACTTAAAATATGTTAAAAATTTAGCTTTGTCTCTGACACATAGCAAGGAATGGGGGCTCTCTGGGACCCAGCCTTCCCCAGAAGTGTCCTGCTTACCCACGAGAGGCACACTGACTGACCTGTCATCCCTTCCACAGCAGCTCATGTCCTACTTGTCTCTTGCATATTAGAAGCAGTGAAGCGTTGGAGAAGATGCTAAGCTGTTGTGAGAGGGAATTGTGCTGCCCATTTAATTCACTTCAGGAGGATCCCTGAAGGCACTTGATCTACCTTGGCCACCCCCACCTCCTCACAGCTTCCTGGGTACAGAAGCTCTGTGTGACTGACCTGCCTAAGGGATTGGGCCTAAAGGTATCTGAAGAAATAATGTTTAAGGGCCTTGATCTGTGGAGTATTTTGCCAACTCTTGAGGGATGATAGTGGAAATCCAAAAACCAAAGCTGGGAGGGTCCTTTGAGACCATCTGGGCTGACTCTCACCTGGCCTTGATGTGGACATTTAAACCCAGCTAGGCTGACTTTTTCTCCCTTAGTGTGCTCTTCCTTGTACACCACAGACTCACAAGCTAGGCCATATTTCCTAGAGCCTTTCTAGCTTGTTTATTTTTGCTTTCTCAGCCCGGGAGAAGGGTGGGTAGGTACAATGAGACACAGTGGTGAGAGGAAGGAGATGGAAGAGTATGTGGAGCTCAGGCCTTGGGGAAGAAGGCCTTTTGTGTCTTTTATCATCTGTCCTGACGCTAATACATTATTTTCCTGTAATTCACAGATTGGCTGTGGGAGCCTAACCCAAACTGTTGCTATTTTCACTTGTGCTGCTAAAATCTGTATAATGACTACAGTATTGGTCTTTCTGGGGGATTGGACAAGCAATGTCAAGGGTGAGGAAACTGGAAGAAGAAAGGAGAGGGACACCTTCTGTTCTTCAAGTTTGAGAAGCCAGAGAGGTGAATAGGGAACGGTTAGTCGCCAAAGCCCTGCCAAGAAGCAGCCACACAGTTTCTTCAGCTCTCTTGACCCTAGATACCTCATTTAAAAATGACTTTATTTTTGAAAAGGAAATACATTCATATGGTTCAAAAGGTACAAGAGGGTACACAGTGAAAAGTCTCACTCTAGCCCTGCCCTCCAGCCACTTGGCTTCTTCTGCAGAGGCCATCAGTGAGTCCTTCCAGAGAAATGTTCTATGGATATATAAACATATATGAATATATTCTTTTTTCTCTTTTTTATGGTAATATACACACTGTTCTATACCTTGCTATACCTTGAAGGTTCTGTGATCCTGTAGGAGCATGAGGATATGCTGTGGAGAACAGAGGTTAAGAGCCCTGGTTCTAGAACAAAACTACTTGGGTTTTGCTTCTGGCCCTGTATGACCTTCAGCAATCACTTCATCTTTCTGAACTATGGTTTTCTCATTTTTAAAATGGGGATCAAACAAGTTAGTATATGTAAAAACTTAGATTTGTCTCTGATACACACACTAAGCACTCAGTAAATTATAGCCATTTTTTATTATTAGAAAAATATTGGACTGTGAGTCAGTAGATTTGGGTTCTCTTCTGGCCTCTGCTCCTGCGTTACCTGAGGGACTTCCTTTGTCCAATCCTGTTTCTTCATCTTTAAAACGAGGTCTCATCCCTACTCTTCTTACCTCCCAGAGTTGCTGGGAGGATCTAGTGAGCTTATGAATGTGAATTGAATATGAAAACAACCTAGAACTATAATGTGTTTAGCACATGGTAGGGGTGCTGCTTACTCTTTTCTGGAAGCTGCTTTAGGTGGCTTGAACCCAGTGGCCTGAATTGTGTGGAGAAAGCAGTATTCTTCCTTCTGGCAGTGGAACCCAAAGGCCATTCCTGTACTAGAGTTCTATTCTGGGTAGAGGTAGCCCATGACAAAAATTTGAAATAGTCAAGTTTTGTCTTCTGACCTTTCTTATCCCACCCCCTCCCCCTTCTGCCTTTCTTGTTTCCATGTCTCCTTCAACTCCCTTCTGTCTCTTGACAAAACCTGCTTTTAGAAGCAAGGCAGCAGCATCTGTCAAAGACAACCCCAACTTTCCATTTGAGATAACCTAGTCCAACTAGCTCAGGGAGGAGTTATATCTGCTTAAGTTCAATACTGCAAGTCAGCAATCAAGCCAAGCCTGGAGCCCATTCTTCCCATCCCACTTTTTTCACTAGCATTTTCATTTTAGTATAAATTTGAAATTCAGATTCCTTAGCAAAGACATTTGGTGATAAAGGAGATACTGGAAGTGTCTCCACCTAGCCTTCATACTGAGGTGTTCTTACCACTTCATTTCCAGGGAGGGTCAGATTTGTTTGGGGCCCTGAGAGGAGGGTGAGGCAGGTGCTGGATGTAGTATTCAAGGGGTGACATCTGTAGAGCAGAGGGAGGAAAGAGCACCAGAAAATGTCTAAAACTGATTTCCAAAATGAAGCTCATGGAGAAAATATTAGAAGTTCTTTATATATTAAATAGTTAATCTCATCATTTAATTTCTATTTTTTGTGGAGATTTTTTATAAAACACATACTACTTTAGTAGCACTTAGATACTGGGGTAGGTGTTTATTTTTTTACCAATTGACAATTTTTAATCAAAACAATTGACAACTGTCCTTCTAAAAGACTGTAGGCTTATTTTCTAATCTTGGCTCTGCTGCTGACTAACTTGACACATTAGGTAACTTCCTCTTACTAGAGCCTCAGTTTTCTTATCTGTAAAATGTTGGACTGAACTAGGTGTGCTAGCTCTTGGGAGTCTCCAATCCTGGCCTTCTCTGAGTATAATAATCTACTCTTTCAGGCTTTTGAGCCCGAGACAGAGTCAAGAAGAGTTGGTTCAAGCCCTAGCATCTTACTGGATGATTTATCCCTCAGTCAGCTTCCCTGGGTCCCTTCCCTTCTTCACCCCCACCTCCTCCACCTAGCCCAGACAAGCAGAGGATCTCTTATATAAGCCTACCTGACCTACTTGAAGTTCTTTTGTTATAAGCACAATCACTTTTCCTGCAGACACAGACCGGATGCTATCCTTCCCGGGCCCTGAGGGTGGGTCTGATTGTGCTTCTCATGTGTCCTCTTTGGCAGCCTAGGTTTAGATGTTGCATCCCTCTTTCCGTAGTCTTTAAGAACACAGTGTGAAGGGGAGCCAGCTCAGCTAATTTGAGTCCCCTGTGGCCTGATCTAGTGAATGCTCACTGACCACTCCTGCTCATCCACCATTTTTCATGTCTGCTGGGAACCCAGGAATATGCTAGACTTTGTCAGGAGAAACATGACCCACCCCTGAACAGGAAATGCTCCTGATAAGGACCAGAAACACTGCTAAATGCCTTGGCCAATGTCTTTTCTTTTTCAGGGAGCAAAGGAGAAGAGGGAAATCAATAAGCTACTGGAAACTATCTTTCACTTTCTGATGGACTGTTTAAATGCAGATTTCTCTTTTGGGCCATAAGGACTCCCCAGGAGACAATTACATTCTCCTTGGAATGCCTGCCAAGGCTAGAGCCTTTGCAAGCCTGTGTCCTGGGTAGGCATGCTCAGTAGACTTCAAGGTGGTTTAAGTTGATTGAAATATGTTTATTTTTCCTCTCTCTTCTCCAGATATAGGAGCATGTCACAGTGCACCTTACTAAATGCTGTTCCTGTTCTCATCACCTTAGACCAGACGGCCACATTTAATACAACATTAGAACTATTAGTTCCAACCTATCTCCTCCACTGCTCCTCCCCCCACCTACAGTCCTCCTTCCCCTACAAGATTTTAACACGACATCTGTCAAATGGATAAAAAATTACTTTCCCTTCTTCTCTCTGCCTTGCCCACCCACCCTCTGGCTGTGGTGTTGATGAGTATAGAACTATACATGTGGGAGGCACGGAGGACAGATTCTTCATGTAGTTCTAGCCCCCTCCTCCTACCCTTCTGTAAACCTAGAGGAGCCCCACCCCCACCCCTTGGAGGAACGCCAAGGCTGGCCTTCAAGTCACAGTCCAAAGAAATTTAAGGCTCCCAGGGCTGGTCCCCGTTGAATCACATAAAGAAATTCAAGAACCCAGGTGCAGGGCCCAAGATGGGTCTAGGTCACCTCAGGCATTTGGGGCTTTTTGAGCCCTCTGCCTATCCCCTAGGCTTGCCCTGGCCATCTTTCAAGGTATGAAGGCAACAAGAGACCCAAATGGGCGGCTGGAACTTAGTACCCACAGCAAGTCCAAGAAGGGCATGATGCCCAGAGCAGGAATATTTTGGAGATATGGCCTAATCTGGCTCAAGGCAGAGACAGACTGGGGTCAGAGTAACCTCCAGCTTGGGATGAATTGCTTCTGACTCAACTCATGGAGAGTGCATTGCTGAGTCAAGTTTTTTGCTAATAATTTGTCTCTTAAAATATTGGGAGCTGACTTGGGTAGATTGAACACAACTCTAAGAAATTGTTTCTAGATTGTAATGTAGAGAGATGCTGCAAGTATTTTCCATTAGGGCCATTGGGGGCCTCAGTGTTGAAGGTCAGGATGGGGGTGGGAGTGGGTGTGCAGGTGCAGATAGTCTCTTGAAGCAGACAGGGAAAATCCTCCTAGACAAACTGTTATAATTCCTTAGCCTGCCTGGAAGCTGACACAAGAAGGAGAAGCCAGGAGACAGAGTTTCAGAGATTCTGGTTTCTTCTGAATGGGCCAGTGCAGTAACAGGAAATTCTTGTACTTCAAACTCTGGCTCTAGAAAGTTTAAAAGACTCTTGGTCTCAGTATGATATATGATTTAGAATCACTTGGGCTGCTTGTTAAAAATGCTGGGATGATTCTGAGCAGAAGGTCTGGGGACCACAAATCAAGAAACTGGTGTAATGAATCAGAGGCACCTGAATAGTGCCAAAATAATCCAAAACAGCTTGACTAACTTTTATTCCCAAGATGCTTTGAAGGTGCAAGCTGATGCTTATCAGGTTGGGAACTATTCTGGTATGGGAGACTTCTCCAGCCAACAGTATCATGGTTGGTGGTCTGGAAACATTTCTTCTCTCTGATCTGTGCAATACTTGGCCCAGTTGGCTGCATTTTCTCTAAAGGACTTATTCCTTCAACAAGACCAAACTCTTAACGTCATGAACTTTGGGGCAGCAGCTGGGTCTTACTTCAGAAACTCCTGGGCCCATTAGGTTGAGCTAGTGGCTGAAGTTTCATACCAGAAAAGTCCATTGCTAAGGTCTACACCAAACAAGCAACTTCCCTTACCTCATATGTTTGGTCACCGTTATAGCTGAGATCACTTTGTAACTTCTCTTGGAAGAGGTTTAGAAAGAGGTGTTATCCTTTGTTATTAGTCTGTGATGAATGAGAA